AGTTGTAGAATTTGATTTCTTTTCATTTTTTCTTTGTCCCTTATCACGAGATTCTACAAAAACTTAACAAGCCTCTTTTGTAAATCCAATATAGGCAAATTATCCAGGTCACTCTCTTGGTTTATTGTTTATATATCCCTTTTGAATTTTAAAACATTAGCCAGGTTATTTTTGTATGTCCAATATGATATTTTTTCCATGTCATTCTTATATCCTGTCATTTGTAAATCCATTTTCAACTCAGTCTTGATTTTGTTGGGTAAAATTTGTTCTTCTTCCACATCATTTAGACACAGTCTCTCCATAGAGGCAGATGACTCTGTTGACACTATTAATACTAACTTCTGAGTCCATTTTTCAAAAATATCCTTCAGTACATCCAATGTTAGAGTATTTGTTTCATTCTGTAATTGTATGTCAAGTTTATGTGTTCTCCTTTAATTGTAATCTTTAGTTCCTTCTAGTGTCCAATTTTTAAAATCTTATTATTATTATTTTTAATTCAAAACAAAAGCATTTTCTTCCTACAGGAAGGATTCTTTGTAATTAATTCCAAAACCTTATTTCAAATTTATCTGGACACTTAATCCATTTGTAACTTTCTAAAATCAAAGTTTTAATCACCCTTTTGCTGTTTATTCTAAAAAAAAAATTTTTTTAAGTTAGTAAACTTGTAATTAAAACTTTTTTCACTAAGGATTGAAAGAAACTTACCTGGTGCTGTCAAACATGTTGATCTAAAGGTTTCTAATAGCTGAAAAGCAGTTAACAAGCAATTTGCAAAAGTGATTAAAAAGGAAGTATGCAAATTTAGTGTCTTCAAAGAGGCTGAACATGGTTTGAGCAAGATGGCTATTCCCTCATCTCACAGAGCTGTATGCCAGAGTCCACTATCTTGTAGTCTCTGTGTAAGGAACAGCTGTCTGGTGCACTTGTGGGCTATATCAAGTCCTCTCCTTGTCTGGAGAGGTTTTGAAGAGCCTGTCTACTCATTGGCTCTTCACTCTGCCACAGTTGTTGGCTCCATTTTTTGCAGAGCCATCTTCAGTCCACCATTTCTTCCTCATTCATTGCATGTTGAGACTTCCTCTTTCTCTTTCCCTTCCTGCATCTCATTTCCAACATTTGGAAAGGGGGAGAAGGAATCACTTGCCATATACTGCTGGATACAAGCCTAATTTCAGTTAATCATTAATATTTTGGAAAAATTCCAATCTAGATTTTTGTTTTAGTCCATCGCTTGACACTAACTTGAACAATAAATATTGTAGGCTCTAATATAACAAACTTAAATGATAAGGATTTTCATTCCATTATTAACATATTTTTGGTAATAAATATTTTGATTATTATAAATATTTTTCTAATTCTAAGAGTTTGGTTTCTGATGCACAGAATGTTATTCAGTAGGAAAAATTGACAATACTTTTTTATTACTTTGATTAGTTTTGGACAGTTTTTTGGAGACCCAACTCTAGAGAATTAGTCTCATTAGCATCCTTTTTTTCTGGAGGTCAGTGAAAATTAAATGGCATCTTGAGACCTCATTTGTCTAAAGAAATCCTACAGAAAATAGTTTAATTCTCTTTCATTCTTCATAGTGTCCTCATGACGCTAAAGTTACATGACTTTTAAAATCTCTTCATAGTTGTACTTAGTAGAAGGTAACACAATGGGTTATAACTTTTCCATTCTTCTTGTAGCAGCAGTTTTAATTTTTAATTTAATTTTTATTAAATAAGTTTTTCACAGAGTAAAACCAATATAAATTTTAAGTTAAAGGTAAGAGAAATAGAGAAAAGTAATTGAAAAGTGAAAAAAATAAAAAGAGAAAAGGAAAAAGAAAAAGAAAAAGAAAAAAAAGAATAATAAAGAAGAGGCTTCCAATCTTCTTAAGAACAGTTAGTACATTTATATTTTACCCTCTCTTTCTAAGGTTACATCAACGTTTCCTTTTTTCCATAATCTATCCTTTCTAATAATCAAATCCATAAATCATCAGGTTTTTTTTCTTTTTTCAGCAAAATGTCCATAAGGGGTTTCCAGTCGCTAATAAATGTAGTAATTGATTTTTCTCTAAGCAAACAAGTTAATTTTGCCATCTCTGCTAGTTCTGTCATATTCACCAACCAATACCTCCCTTGTGGGTATTTCAGAGTCTTTTCATTTTTGTGTGTATAGTTGTCTCAGAGCAGTGATCATATATAAAAATAACCTTCCATGGCTTTTTTCTAGTTGTCTGTCCATTAATCCCAATCAAAAGAGTTCTGGTTTCCATTGAATCTTAGTCTTCAGAATTCTTTGTATCAATATATGTATTTGAATCCAAAATTTTCTGGCTGTTTTACAAGTGCACCAAACATGATAAAATGACCCTTCATATTATCCATATTTCCAACATAAACTTGAGATACCTTTATACATTCTAGATATTTTTTCTGGAGTCATATACCCAGAGTACATTGTTTTGTTATGTTATAAAATCTCTTTTATAACATAATGTGAATTTCAATCCTTTCAACCACATACAGTATTTTCCCACTATTCCAACAATATGTTAGGTCCAAAATTCTTAGCCCATTTTATCATACACTCTTACTTGTTCATCTTCTATTTCAAATTTCAGCAAGAGTTTAGAGATTTTGGCAAATACATGTTCATCATTTGTACATAATTCAACTTCAGATTCTTTTATTGCTCTATTCCAAATGTCCTGTTATCTACTGTGAATCTTTCTCTTAGGTGTGCATACGAAAACCATTGAAAACTAAATCCCTCTGAAGCTAATTGTTCTCTTGATTTCATCTTATATTTTCCATGTTCTTGTTCTAACAAGTCTTGATAGGTTAACCATTTTCTTTACCTGCTGTTTCTTTCCTATAAAATGCTTCTTGTGCTGAGACCCATAAAGATATTTTTGGGTACAGTCTGGGTTTATATCGGTTCCATTCTCAATATGGCACTTCTAACATTTCACACATTAAAATCTACATTAACTTTATCGTACCATAGAAAACCATGTCATCCAAACCTCAGATTGTGCTTTTCTAATTCTAAAATTATTTTATTTCTCAGCGGCACCCACTCTTTCATCCAAACCAAACAGCTGGCTGCAAAATACAGTTTTAAATCAAGCAATCCCAATCCTCCTCATTCCTTTGCATCTTGGAGAACTTTATATTTAATCCTTGGCTTTTTCCCTTGCCATACAAACCTAGATATATCTTTCTGCTATTGCTTATATAGTACATCGGTTGTCAGAATAGGTATTGTTTGAAACAAAAACATCATTTTAACAGATTTGACAGATTCAGATACCTGCTTTCCCATCCCTTCAAACATTATTTTGTAATAATTTTGGAGTAATACCCTTTTCTGTCAATTATTCTAATGACCCTCTCCTTCCCTCCCCATACTTTGCAGCTTTTCTGGTCGTTGTCATTCTTTTATTTATAATCCAGAAGTAAAAGTAAGTCAATTACAAAGATGAAAATAAAAGGCAGGCTTCTCTTTCCCCCCCCCCCCC